TGCGGTCCCTGCGGGCCGTGCGGTCCCTGCGGCTGCGGCCCATGTGGCTGTGGACCGTGTGGAGCATGCTGTGGATCGTGTTGTGGCCCTTGCGGCTGCGGGCCTTGCTTTCCCCCTTGTCTCCCCTGCCCTATTAATCCTGGGGATCAGACAACTGGCCCACTCGCCGCAGGTGCCTCTCTGAGATTCCCCACAAAATGCTGTGGTGTTCTCACTGACGCTCTGAACTTGAGTTGTACTAAGGAGTCTACGGATAGCCATTGTCCGAATGATCCTCATTCAGATTCGGTTTGCTTTTGTGAAGTCTGCAGGGCAAATCGCACGCAAGCGCTCGCGAGTTTACAGCATAAGTCTGCAAACGTCGAACCGAATGTTCTTTCTTCGATAACTTCGCAACATTCTTCCAAACTTACGATTGATCCAAAATTGGCTAAGGAATACCCTTTCGGTAAAGTTAAGTAGTAAAGTTGTTTCATAACACAAGAACGTTGTTGTTAAAATATCCACGGTGTGACCAATTCCGTTACCCTCGGATCCCGACTTTACACCCAATTTAAACTCGTTAAGTTTAGCAAAGAAAATGGCACCATAATCGCATTTTTTTTAATCACTCGCATAATGAAATATTTGAATATAAAATAATATAAAACATGTGATGTGAAAAGTAGCAGTGGAATATTCAATGAGAAATACAGAAAATACATAAAACGTGTCGTTTTCTTCTATTTATCCTTACACCACGTGGCTAGTTTGTAAACTTGAACACAATGTTATCACTATACAAAACAAACTTTGGAGAAACGGAGTTGTCATTACAGTGCTGCAATAATACTTTCAGCGATGTTCATCAGAAAGTTTACCGAGGCAAAGGAGGATGAGAAGAACGAAACGGACCAGGAGGACCACGTTGCCGCACCGATAAGCTGTTTCTATCCAGGCGACTCACTACCCTGTCTACGAGCCAACGAAGAAAATGTTTTTTCAGTTTGGACACGGAGTGTAATGAACTGGGCATTTAGTATGTACACCAGAAAACATCAAACACAGCACACAAACAATCCTACCTTGTCGTTTCCGTGTCTCGTTTTTTTACCAGGATATAAACTTGACTTATCCGATAATGTTCCAAATCCAACGCCGTTGGACAGAACATCGTCATATTTATGCGAATCAATTTCGGTAAATAGTCCTCTGGCGTGTGGAATTTCTGGAAACAATAGCATCTATTTAACTTCTTTTACACCTATGGCTTTTAGTTTCTGTTGCCCCAAATTTTTCGGATCTTACTGCCCTGGATGTTGTGGCCAGTTTTGCAGACCGTGCAGGCCTTATGCTTGTAAGCCATGCGTTTCTTGGGGATGTTGTCAGAGTGTCTGTTTCGGCAGCTGTGGCCCGTTCGGGCCTTGTGGCCCTTACGGACGCTGTGGCCGTTTTGAGGGTCCGTTGATTAATGTTCAGATCTCCCCTGTCCCTGTTACTGGACTACCTTGCCCCAATATATGTGCTCCAAAATGAAATCAAATCCCGAAAATTTCGAATTACATCTGGGGCAGTTATATCGGCACGATGTCTGTTCGGACAACATCGGTCTCATAAATTTAACGACTGCATTTCTTGGACCTCCTTTTTTAAACAAAATATTCTGCCCTAAACAGTGATATGAATCAATAAATTAACTTAATTAGGGCAGGACAGCTGATAGCTTGGTAACTTTTGATTAACTAACCTACACTACACTAATACAAGATATACAGATGAAGCGTGACCACATAAAACCCAATACACATTGCAGGAACCCAAACATTGTTGCAAACTACAGAAATAAAATAATAAAACAAATTTAGTAATTTTTTTTACATGTGAGTTACCACAGGAACTTTAGGCCTGTTAAGGTCTAATGGGAAGAAAATACCAGTACTCCTATCAACAGAACGGACTAGTGGGATTAATCGGACAAAACCGACAGAACCACTGGGAATCGTAAATTCTTTCTTCCCATTTGTTCTGTTAATAGAACTAGTGTCAACGGAACTAGTGGGAATGGAGGGATTTTCTTATACTAAGGAACCTAACACACCTAACACTTGACACGTGTAAAAAACCACGAAATCTACTCGTAGCTATGATAGGTATAGACTGTATCTGCCAAAGTTTCACGAGGCTTCTGGCCTTATTAATTGTGTAATATATAAACGCGACGATAGCAGACTCAGCTGCTGCACTCGGTTGCTGGACTCTGCTGCTAGACTCGGCTGCTTCTCAGCTGCTGGACTTAGCTGCTGGACTCCTCTGCTGGACTCAGCTGCTGGACTCAGCTGCTGTACTCAGCTGCTGTACTCAGCTGCTGGACTCAGCTGCTGTACTCAGCTGCTGTACTCTGTGCTCGTGAACCAACTGAACCCACCCCGAAAGGACCTGGGTGGACCATGGGTATTTTTTTTCTTCCCGTAGCTCCTTTTAAGTACCAAAAAAACTCCCGGGAAAGCGGTTTTTGAACACATCTTTAGAGGGTTTTTGATATGTGTAGATAAAGATATTTTTGACTTCTATTTTGATATTTTTTTCGTTCTAGTTCAGTGTACTTATTAGATACGACGTCACGATAGGAGCATAAGGTCATACTAATTAGTGATTTTTTTTTGTAACAATATTGTACACAGCATAATTCCGCGGCAGATTTTGGCTCGTATCTACTTTGAACACTACACAATTGATAATAAAGTTCATTAGGCTATAAATATTTTGTTAATCATGATTTTAATCATATAATATATTGCAAGGTTTATCAAACAGATACAGCTTTATACTATACAGCTTTATACAGTAACGATTAATAACGCGTTTGGTATATTATCATTTCTGATAGTAAAGTAAGTGTCAAATACTGGGTATTCATCATTGTGAGTGTCGATTAGTGGGTGGTTAATTTTTGGTGTTCATTATTGGAGATTTAGAGAAATTCTAGTTTGGGTTTATTTTTTAGTAATAATTATGAAAGCTTTTTTTTATAAAACATACTATACTTCGTTTCAATCCATTTTAAACAAGTCCTTGACCTGATCATAGACGGTTTAGTGATGGCCAATTGTAATGGAAACTATAAATCGTTTAATTGAATGAATAGATTTGTTCGAGTCGTACTAGCGGTTTTCCTTAAATGAATAGTAAAAATACATAACCTTTAAAAGTGTAAATTTTAAAATTTCCGAAATCTTAATTTAAAATCCTTCAAATATTCACACTAAACGCTCGTTCGATTGCGATTGAAAATTCGATTTACCAATAGATTACAAAAACTTTGAATAAACGGAATGTTTTTTTCGTACAGCACTATGCAACCATAGGCAAGTCATAGAAGTGTAGATGAAAAATGACCTCACTTTTGAGCTACCATTTTTCAAATACGATTTTACAATCAATGTTATTGGAAAAAGTGATGCGATATCAAGTCGAAAACTTCGAAATATACGTGAAAGTGTTATTCGATTTATTGAGTGATTAATTTAGAATTT